GAGGTCCCTTCCAGTCCTAATGTCTATGAAATCTATGACAGCCTTTCGGTTTTGGAAAAAACCGTCAACATCCCACCTGTTTCTGAAGTAGTTTCAGTTCTAAGGCATAAGTGACTTTTGAAAACGGGACTTTAAAAATGTTGCTTCACACAAATGAAGATTTTTTTTGTTTGCTTAAATCATATATTGTGTTTTTTGTTGCTTTTGACTCTGGTTTTTTTTCCCTTTTTCTTCCTGCTCTGTCAAAAGCAGATACTAATCATGGCTATCTTATATCAGATGCCTAGCAGTTTGCTAATTAATGGGCGTGTCTATACTTCATTGTATGGTGACGTTGCCTTTTGGGAGTACTAAAGCACAGCGCAGTACTGGTGGTTAATGCACCGTGCGTGCAGTGCACGGTTAGATTTTGCCGCTGTGTCGCCGTAGCGGCACACTATACTGGGGGAGCGTGCCAGTACTGTGATGTAGCTGGCGACCATGTGTAGACCCGTGTGATTGCTATGTCACTGTAGCATGCTGTATGCTGATGTAGCATGTCACTATGTCACCGTAGGGTGACCTGTAGACGCATCCAATATGTATTAGAGAGCCTGATTCTGCATTTCTTCTGCATCCAAACTCCCTCTGAGGTCCGCTTCCATAGGCAGCCTTTAGTGAATTTCTGCATGGGTAACAATAGTATTTCATAATTGTGAGCTGTCTGTAGAAATCAAGCAGTTGTGAGTGGGGCAATTTTTCTACTTCATAAATTCATTGACTAGGAATAAATCCATCTTGCCTCCCATTTCTGTCAGTCTGAGCATGGTTGATGAATAAACTACTTTATTCTAACCTCAGCAGTTCGGTAACTTTGGCTAATGTGTCTGCTTTTCAACCACTTTGTTACAAGTCGCTGGTTTCAGAGGATTTAGACTGGATATGGATTTAGTTCTGGATATCCAGGTAGGACACTCTTATAGCAGTCGTACTGTAAACTGCTTAGATACAGTTCAGCTGGGGAGGCAGTGCTTAGTGCCGAGGGCAGTAATATATTGTCTGTCTATTTTTTCGGAACTGAGTCCTAATTTTGATTATTTAGAGAAATCCAGTAGGTAAAGGCCTCTTTCATTCCATCTAAATGCTGGTTTAATGTAACACTTATGTAAAAAAACAAACAAACTATTTTATAAGGCTAACTTTTACTTAGGACCTCAAAAATAAACCTGTTTGAAGGGAGAGGCCCTTCTTTTTATTTCTGCTAATTGCATTGACCTACAGAAAAGATGCCCAAATGTCCATATTTTATTAATAGGATTCTTGTAAAGTTAGAGCTGTGGAGCAATTCATGATAAATCAGACTGACTGGGAATTGTGGCATTATTCTCATCAAATAATCACCCATAAATAAACATTGTCCTAATTTGAGCTGCTCTGGTAAATACCCATGTGATCCAGTCTCACGCGCTCCCCTCCCTCAGTGAGAGCAGAGGCATGCAGAACGTGGAAACCTCCTTGTATTGGATCATTTCTCCTTTTATTTCAAAAGTCGGATGGAGAAAGACCTAGGCCCCATGACGGTGGAGGTTGAATCTGCTTGGGTCAGCATTTGAAACGAGTGGTCAATGGTAAGTGCTATGTTGTGATGGCACTTGTTGCCATAAGCATCAAATATCTGCTTACATTAGTTTAGGCTTGATTTAGACATCCTTGTAGATGGAAAGTTGAAAATAGTTGTTAGGACACATGGGCTTCCCTTTAACAAGCCAGGGCTTTGGACAGTGGTGCACCAATAACGACCCATTTACTGGCTAGGTGAAGGGATTGAATTTAGCCCAGACCAGCACCACTGACTAAAATGTGATGTCAACTGATGGGTTCCCTGAGGGCTTGTACAATGAAAGAATCTGAGAGCAGTTTGCTCAATTTATGGCTACAGTGATTTGGACTTTGGGTAAATGAGCAAGTCTGTAATGGTGCCTTCTAGTGGCAGAAATTATAATAGCCTACTACTCCAGCAACTAAAAGTAATTCTTATCTTATGCAGTAGAGGCCTGTTTTGTTTTTAAGTTGAAAGACAGTGGTTTGAGATCAATATAGCAATTGCATTTGTTATCTGTGTGGATTGATTACGTCACTACCACATCTAGCCGTTTCTTGGAAATGCATGTGTTTCTTTATGAGCTATCAAATAAAGGAGATAAACCCCCCTTTTTAAAATGTATACTGCAGGCAGAGGAGGAAGTAGTGAAATGGTATTTTCATAGGTCATTCCATAAGTCAAGTGGGGAACTGCAGTTGCACGTGTACGATGTCTCTCCAATCCCTGCTCTCCTGTGCTGGTGAAGGGGCCTCCTGTCTTGCTGTCATGTGAGACATACCGCTTCAAAGTTTCCTGTTCTCAAACGTACTTTGACTTCCCCAGCCTTTTTTTATTGCCCCTATAACTCCGCACAGGCTCACTTTCAACTTCCTCCATTTCTGTTGTGGAAGCTTCAATCTGCTGAGCTCAAAGAGCTCTGGCCAGATGTGAGGAGGGGAGCTGGAATTCTTGGCATCCCACCCGTGGTGCAACAGCATCCATCATCCTGGCGGGCAGAACACGCCAGACCACATCCTTGCCTGTCTCCGACTGATATGACAGAGTGCCCGTCTAGTGAGACTGCACCCAGTCTTCCCTCTGGAAGGTGACGGAGAACTTGCCTGTACTTCTCAGGACTGCCAAACTTTAAGAGGGGTGTCCCATCCCAGTTAAGTTAACAAAAAAAGGGCGTTGGTAAGATCACAAAAGACCTTTGATAAGGTTAAGAAGGCCTGGTATGTAGGTTTGTGGTTACATCTTCACATTCTTCCGGGAACAGTTCAGCATCACCCAGAATGTCAATGGTACTTACCCCTCAAGCTTTAAATCCCTCTGGAAACCACAATATTTAGTTGTTTTTTTTTAACTTGGCTACTCCTTAGCAAGGAGCAATCAGGAAAGTATTTCTCCTTCATTTGAGAAACAGGTACCAGATACTCTTCCCCCCTACGTTTGATAGATTTTTGTGCTGTCTATTGCATTATATAAAGAAAGAAGAAAACTTTGCCTAATTGTGGTGTCAGCTCTCAGTCCCTTGAGCTCATGAGAGGCCAGCGATAAAGGCTGTTCTCTGGGGGGGCTTGCACAGTTCAGGGGTTTCTCCTGGATTGTGTGTTGTTAATATTCACTTGTGCCCCCTCAAGATGTTGCCTGGCCCTGCAGCCCCCAGGTCCCAGGTCTGAATGGTTCGGAGCTTGGCAGTGGTTTTGAGAGAGCTGCAGAGGCAATGTGCCCGATGCCCTTTGGGGCACTGCACACTCCCAGGGGAGCAAGAGGGGTGGTATTTATGCTCTTCAGAGCAAAGTAGGGCAAAAACTCTGCCTGGCTTTTACATGGATTATATAGGACAGATCAAGTGAAGTCCCTCTCCCCTGTCCTGCCACCATGCTACGGCTAGGCAGCATTTGGGTTTGGAGGAGAGGGTCAGCTTTTTACTCTCAAGAGACCAGTAACAGATGGCCTACGGGTGGTTTGGCCAACTCACAGCTGAGGCATGTCGGTGCAGGGAAGCTCCCACTCTTGCTGCCCATGCTGTGCCGAATCTTGCGAGGACGCCAGTCTCTTGCTTTGCCCCAGGAAAAGAAATTGTTGCACTATGTAATGGGAGGGGTGGAAACCCAAGTCGTGTCCAAGTCTGGGCCAATTATTGTCGCATATTATCAACTAGGTTTTAATCAGTGACCTTGTTTTGCTTCAGTCCTGTCTGGTTTGTTCCTTAAAGCCATTGTGATTCTGCCCAAGGGCTTCCATGCTAGTCTAGTGTCCCCCACGTCCCACAAGCAGAGAGGAGAGTAGCCTCACAGGGATAACATGCACCCCTACGCAACACAGAGCAGTGGGTCTGGTGCTGGGCCCCAAGACAGCAAGAGGATCAGCACTTCCATCCCTCTCATAGCTTAGTCCCTCAGATGGCCCAGGAGGACAGTAGCCACTATTGCAGCCCATACACTGAAACAACCCAGTGAGCTCCTCTCTGTGTGTGAGCTGGGCAGGGGCATGTGACTCCAGTCTCTTAAACTCCCACTTTCTCCCCCACTTATTTGGGGGGGGGAAGGGTACATTCTGCACCTCTTGGGAATGAAGTGCACTTGTCGGCTGTCCAAGTGCACCAGAGGAGATTGGTGCAAAGGCCTACGCTAGAGGATGAGGATCCGATCACTTGGATTTTTTTGCAAAGTCAGCAAGGTCTGTGCTTTCCCTCCTGTACAGTACGAAGCGAGCTGCAATCCTGAACTGTTCGCATCACACCGGTTTGGCAGCCAGTAGCGAGGCAGTCGAGAGATACAAGGGATAAAATATTCATGTTTTGTGAAGGCTGCTAACCTTCTGTTGGCAATCTGCTGGCTCCCCTGCTCACGCTAAGCCATGCCAGCCCCCTCTGCCTACTGTACCTGGCATTTTAAAAATGGGCTTGGAGTGTAACACGGAGGGGGCTCCGTGCTTCTGCAGCACCATTCCTCAGCGCGGCTCTGCCTTCCTGTAACCCAGCATATTTGTTTAATCTGTTTTCCAGCCTAGAGGCTGCCAGCATTGGATTCATCATCATTATAGACAGACGGCGGGACAAATGGAGCGCGGTAAAGGCGTCCCTGACACGGATAGCAGTAAGTGCCTGGCATTGTTTTTGCTGTCATCTACCTTCCCTTCAGCACTGATTTTTATAGCTTTTTTTTTTTTTTTTGGTTTCCTGGATATTAATGCAGTACCTTCCTGATCCTAGAGATCCCTGTTACCTAGCAGAGATAGCTGAGCCTGCGCTGATGAATTACACAACCTTGGTTCCTGCTGAATTAGAATGAAGACAACTGTGTCACAGATCTGAGTGATTTAAAGGGAGCCTCTCTAAGTTGAAGGAGCTGGAAGAGGGAACCTCCATTGTGCCGTGGAGGGTTAGGAGTGGCCAAGGGGCCCATGTGCAAGATAAAAATGGATCTCTAAAGGCTTGGGGCAGCTGGGAGATCTGTCGGATTATTTGAGAAAGGTGGACCCAAAAAACCAGAATATGAGCAGCTGTGGAGTATTTTTTTTCTGATGATGTGACATGTCGTGCATGTGGAAGAGGCATAGCTGCGTGCGATGCTTGATCGCTGCAGAATCAGATTGTCATTTAAGTTTTTCCTGGGGATGCAAAGTGTTTGGTTTCTTTGCCCTGCTTAGTTGTCCTCAGTGTTTGAATATATTTTCTAGGCTCTGTGAGATCAGGGGATGGTCACGTAACACAGATAAACAGGAGGAGGCTGGGGTTGTGAGCCAGGCCACATGTCTAAGGAGAGCATTGAGCTGTCCTGTGGATAAAATAAACCTTTTCCAGGGCAGGATGGGAAATACAGTCTTGTAACGTGTGTATGGCACAGCCAGAGGCATCTGCCCAGATGTACACAATTGTCTTGTCCTGTAATGGCTGCGGCCTGCAGAGTAGAGAAGCTCTGTTACTACAAGAGCTGACTGAGATTTTCATATCACTCGATGGTCAGAAGCCTGTGGTTTTTGGGGCTGGAAGGGTTTAAATCACTCTTTGCCTGCTGTCTGTCTGCCAGGCAGTAACACCTGGTTGTGAGGCTTCATCTGCAGCTCGGTGTGGGAGTCTGTCTATTGACTTCAGCAGGTCATGGAGGATAGGATGATGGGGGAGGAATAGCAGACAGCCATGAAGACCGGACAGCCCCAGAACCATTTTCCCCTCCTTGGGAGCCACAGGAGCACAGCACAAGGGAAGAGGGCACTGAAATCCTCCTGGTGCTCTTCTCTGGGTGTGGGGCTTGATTCCTCTGCCCTGCCACTTATTTCTGTTCCTTGCAGGGTGCGTTTCCAGGGAACCTGCAGCTGGTGTTTGTCCTGCGGCCCTCCCGCTTTATCCAGAGGACAATCGCTGACATTGGCATTAAACTCTACCGAGATGACTTTAAAATGAAGGTACCGGTAAGCATGCACTTTCTTGCCCCTGTGTTCTTTTTGTGTCCATGTCCGCAGTTTCTAAGTGTCAGCAAACATCTCTCAACCCATCCGCTAGCGTTAAGTGGTAGCATGCCAACCAGGATGGACAAGTTTCTTTGAAGTCCCAAGTGAAACTTAAATCAAATAGGACAGTCCTTGGTGTGTGATATGGAGGATGTTGGAACCAGCTCTGTTGTTTTGATCAAATGGCTTCTTTATTCTGGACTTGATTTCAGTGGTTAACTCCCAGGGTGAGGCAGGGGAGGAGACGTTGTTGTATCCTAAGCAATGGCTCATTTAAATATGTTTGATTTTGGCAATAGTACCCATGAGTTATCCATTAATTATTACAGGATGTGCTATAAGATGGATGCAGCCATCCATTACAATATAACCTTGCTCTGAAACATGACTGTGTCAAAAGACACTTCTCCTTGCGGATCTCCTGGTGAGCATTCAGAGCTGGGACTTCTTGCTCTGTTGATGAAAAGTAAATGGTAGACCTGCAGAGCTAACCCAGCTGAGAGACATAGGGCTGGGGTCTTGCATGACCCACAGTCCAGTGGATTGCATCTGTGCCAACCAGCTAAAGAGAATGGGGTCAGCAGGGTGGTACCAAGGGCCAGATTTGCCCTGTGGGACCTTTATTACAGGTAGTGGTGTGTGAGAAGGAAAGAACCCAGCTTCATTTTCTGACCCCAGGCAGGATGTGCAGAGCTGACAGTTAGCAAGAATCATTTAGCCCGGCTGCATGTGGGGGAAGCAAGCTTGGGTTTCAAATTCACCGATAACATATAAGCACAGAAACCTCAAATGGCATTTGCATGGAATCATGTTCCAGAGAAGAATCACATTTTCCAGCTTGCTTCCCTAGATGACACTACACATTAAGGCAGGTACAGAAATAGGTAGCATTATTAGACCAGTCTATAACAATAACCCCCTGTAAGCTTCCTGTCCAGGAGAAGCACAGTGAAAGACGGTCTTTTTCTTTTCCCTACGGGATGGTGTTGTACCACAGTAGTGAGTGCTTTTCCACAGGTCCTCTCTTCCAGTAACAATCTGTCAGAGCTCCTGCTGTGTCTGTATGCTGTTATGACCATTTATAATACATGGTGCTCCCATCCAGTGCCAGGCTTACATATTAATTTTATTCAGCTCATGCTTGAAATGTATTATGGGCTGCTTGGAGTGTGGTAGAAGTTGGAGGAGGTAACCAATTCTTTGCTGCATACCTCGTTCTCTTAAAATTTGATCCTAACATGTTTGCCTGGCATCTCATTATCATTGTTGTTGTTGTGTTGTTGCTCTTATTCTTATTGTTACTATCTCAGCACCGATAAGAAACGGCAATATTAATTATAATACAAGTGTCAACTTCAGATTCCGTGCTCCGTAATGTTTCTATAGGGATGATTTTCTTTAGCTTTCCCTGAGTTGGTTTTCATAGATTCATCGATCATCAGGGGTTGGAAGGGACCTTGTAGATCATTGGGTCCAATCCCCCTGCACTAGGCAGGAAAGACAACTGAGGTCAAGTGGCCCCAGCGAGGTGACCGTCCAGTCTCCTCTTGAAAATTTCCAGGGTAGGTGACCACACCACCTCTGGAGGGAGCTTATTCCACAGTCTGGACACCGTGACTGAAGGAGTTTTTCCTGGTATTAAGCCTCCAGGAGTTTGCATCCATTGGTCCTGGTCTTCCCCAGGGGTGCCCTGGTGAACAGCTGTTCACCGAGTTCTTGATGCACTCCCCTGATGTAGTGGTAAGCTGCTACCAAGTCCCCTCTTGGCCTTCTCTTCTTTTCATTTAAATTAGTTTTCCGAAGGCCCCTGACCTCCCCCCCCCAACAATATTAGTAATTAGGGCCATGTCTATGTGGTGAATTTATCATGTCCAGCCCTGCTCTGTGGGCTGCCTTCTACACTAGAAGCAGTGCAGCCATGTCTGCACAGCACCAGGGGCAAGCTAGTTTAGCATGGGGTCGGGCTCATTAGTCCCATCACATAGCAGTGCTAATTAGGTCTCCTGCAGTGTTGTGTGGACACAGCTATGCCACTTCCAGTGAAGGAGGTGGCCAGTGTTGAGCTCTGCAGTGTGCTTATGGCACTGGTGCCTGTCACAGTAAGTGTCCTACATAGGCATGACCTAGGTGGTAAGGCAGTTGTTTGTGATTGTCTGCATACGTGCCTGGGAGTGGAGGAGAGGGCAAAATATGGCCAGGAGGCTGGACCTGGCCTGCAGCGTCCCCTGCAACACTCTGCATGGGGCTAAGCCCTGCCTCCTCCTGCCTGGGGCAGCTCACACCATGCCTCTGCCTTGTGTCTGCCAACAGCACCATCCCAGCCCTGGCCCCAGCCAGCATGCACAGCTTCCCAGTGGGGCTTCTCCAGCTGCCTGGATGCTGCTCAGCTCATCCCTGCCTCCAGCGGCAACTCCTCCTCCTCCCCTACCCCTGCTGCACTGCTTCGGGCAGCAGGTAGCACAGGGAAGCAGCAGCAGCTGTGGGTACATGCACTGGGCACCACAACCCCAGCCAGGTGGGGGGGGCCTGCAGTTGGCCAGCTGCAGCTCCTGGGCAGCTCCTGCCCCAGTGCATGGGGCTCAAGCTCCAGGTCCCAGCTGCCATCTACCCAGTCCTCCCACCCAGCATGATGAGCAGCCACCTTTGGGCAGCCAAGTGGGTGGAAGGCAGCTGAAGTGGCGCAATAGGGACAGGAGGTAGAGCCACTGGAGGCGGGGGGAGCTCAGCTGTACCTGGGCAGCACCAAGAGCAGCCTCATGGGGAAGCTGTGCGCTCTGGCTGGGGCCAGGCCTGAGGTGGTGCCGTCAGTGGGTGCAAGTGGGCAGGTGAGAGAGGGTGGGGCTCAACCCCATGTAGAGCGCTGCAGGGGCAGCCACAGGCCAGATGGGGTGGGGGGCAGACTGTACCTGCCCTGCACCATACTGGGCAAGCTCTGCTGCATGCACTCCCACCCCCAGCCTGCTCCCAGGACCTAGCGTGTGGATGCCCCCCGCAACACATGCACACCCGCCTCCTTACACCCCCCAACACATCCACCCCACACCCCCTCCACACCCACAATATTCAAGAGGAAGACTTAATTTGAGCGATTATGCAATCACTTTTATATATGCTTCTCAAAAAAAACATCATTCAGAACAACAGTTATTTTTTTGAAAGAAAATTAAAATATGTTATAGTAGATGTTTGATTTTTAGTATGATTTTTTATCTATAATTTGTTAAAATGATGTCTTCTGAAAGACTTTATGTGTGCAGCCCTCAACAGCTCACCTAGGCTCATGAGATGGCCCTTCAGCTGAAATAATTGCCCACCCCTGGTCTAGCACCAGAACGTCTACACTGGGCATGAGAGGAGAGCTTGAAGCAGATTTCAAAAGAGCTGGGCTAAGCTGGATCAGTGTGGGTGCACACAGTATCCTCTGGAGGAACAAACTGGTGCTTGCTGTACTGCCTCAATGATTATAGTGGCTTGGTGTCTGCCTCCGCCCTTTGCAAGGCCTCGAGGAATGAGCCCGGGCTTGCAGGCTGCCCCCACACCCTTTCCAACTGGGGCAGTGTATCAGGGTCCTGTTTTCCATGCACTACGAGGGTCTGATGCTTCTCTTCCAAGCTTCAGTTCTGCAGGGCTGCGTGGGAGATAATGAAAGCACAACCTCAGTGAAGCATGTGCGCATTTAAGTGTCAAACAATGTTTTTAAAAATTCCAACAGCATCAGGAGAAATGGTTAAAACAGTGAGCACTTGGGTATTCAGAGGTTACCATAGCAACTGCTACACCCACTACTGCTGTCCAGGGAAGGACAGCCATGTTCAAAAAAAATGAAGTTTGCCTCCAGCTCAGCAGCTGTTGTACTTCTTGCAATTAAAAGCCTGAGAGAAATTAAGGTTCTGCTTCATACCCCCAGTGGCTTTGGAAGCCAGACTTGAAACTGTTAACAGATTATTAGGAAAAACTTCTGCATTAGGAGGGTAGTAAAGTACTGGAACAGGCTACCCAGAGAGGTTGTGAAATGCCCATCCTTAAAGGTTTTGAAGACCGGGTAGACAAAGCCTTGGCTGGGATGATCTAGGTGGGGCTGGTCCTGCTTTGAACAGGGGTTGGATGAGATGTGACCTCCTGAGGTCCCTTCCAACCCCAAGTTTCTATGATTCTTTGACTGGGAGTCCAGGATGCTCAAGGATTGTGTTCATAATTATTGTGGTGCTTTATAGAGGGGGAAACTAAGTTCAGAGGTGCTGGGTTAAATTTGCAAAAGCATTTATTGATTTGGGGTCCCTCAGATGTTGGAGACCCAACATGGGGACAGAGGGGTGGGCTGAAGTCGATGGGAGTTTTGGGCATCCATCATCTTTCTCATTTTGGTTTCCAGTTGGGCACCCAAAATTAGCAGAGACTTCTTAAACCTTTTCAGCCTAACGGGCTTGCCCATGATTAGCATCCGTGCCCAATCCAAGAACAAAACCTAGGAGTCCCAGGTGGGCTGCTCTATTCTGTCAGTCGCATAACTTTCTGCTCCTTAAATTACATTCAAGTATAAGCAAGAGGTGAGAGTTTCTTACAGAAATCCTTACCTCTCACCTGTTTCCTGGACCATCATAGCGACAACATCACGTCAATACTACCACATACAGGTACCTTAGAGGAGGTTGTTGGGCTGGCTGTATTAATGTCACTGTGATGGATTTCCTAAGCAAAGAGGAGGCTGAGGGAGGGTCAGCCAGTGAGCATAAATTGAATGCAAATATGCTTGCTAAAATAGATTGAAGCTAAATCAACACTGGGCTGAATAGAAACCCGGGGGGGCGGGGTTTGAAAAGCATTCAGCAGGGGCTGAAAGAACGTGTGTGGGCATAACAAGGACACAAGGTTTGTGTTGCATATGGGAGGTGTAAATATGTTTAATAAAACCAGCCAAAGCTAAACCAACATTGGGCAAGGTGGGAAGCAGGGGTGGTATC